ACTCATCACACCACAGAAAAAAATCAAGATTAATACCATGGGGTTACAACGTGCTCCGTTAATCTACCCCAGCAAGCACGGCAGAGGAGACAAGAAAGAAAAAACAGCCCGTGCTGTCAAGGAGTCTATAATCTGAGGCAAGTCAGGACACGGTGACCTTGTGTTATCATTTTTCACGAAGTCCCAAATGAATGGTACCAATATGAAGCTATGAGCTTGACCAAGGCAGAGTTCACGGCAGACTTGATGGGAATGGAAAGGCTTTGTAGGAGACTTAGGTCATGAGCTGGTCTGGGACAGACTGGGAGAGCTTCGTGTGGATAAAAGGGAGAGGAAAGAATATGAGGAAAGGCACGGGCATGGAAATCCTCAGGCCTGCTTCCGACGCAGGTGGACAGACCGCACCATCAAGTTGGAAATGAAGGGAGAAGTATAGAAGGTTTTGTGTATTAATCTAAGGAGCAGAGAGGTAAAATAAATAAGTAAGTAAGTGAAGTTTTTAAAAAATGGGAGTGCCTGGGTGGCTCAGTCGGCTGAGTGTCTGACTCTTGGTTTTGGCTCAGGTCCAGATCTCAGGGTCATGAGATCAAGCCCTGTGTCAGGCTCCATGGCCAGGGCTGGTGCCGAGTCCGTTTGAGATTCTCAGACTCTCCCTCTCCCTCTGCCCTTCCCCACCCCCTCCCCACTCATGCTTGCTCATGCTCTCTCTCTGTCTCTCTCAAATAAATTAATTAATTAAATAAAATTTAATCGAACGCGGGGAGAGGTTGTCTTTACTCTTTCCGCAAACAGAGGCTGGAAAGAGCCAGCAAGGGAGGCTTCGCAAGGGATTCTTGTCTTAGGTGGCAGGTTGGGCCGCTCATTCTTTCCCGTGGCCGGGGGCATCAGAGGCCCAGCCCCGCCCCTGCACCCACCCCCTGCTATAAGCTTGTTAAAAATAGATCTTCTTTCTTAAAAAAGATTCCCCCACAACACTCAGGACCTATCCCCTGGGGATTTTGCTTCTGTACATCTGGGATGGGATCCAGAAATCCATACCCTTCCCCAGCTTTCCCACAGACAGAGCTGGTCCGAGACTCCACTAGGATGGGCAGTTTCTACCCAGAAATGGCACATTTCAAAAGTGGAATTTTTAAGTCACGTTCCTGAAAACTAGCTCCTGCTCTCACTCACTCTGTTTCTACTGCAAGTATGCCCCCCCATTCACACACACACACACACACACACACAAGCACAGCCGCTCAGTGCTGGCTGGAATTCTTGCTCACATCGTCTCCACTTAATTACTGTGTATCATTTACAGCTCGTTCTCTCTCCCTCTCCCTCTCCCTCTCCCTCTCCCTCTCCCTCTCCCTC